ACTAAAAAAGGGGCTGAAAAACCCAGCTTATACTCAAGTATATACGGTACCAATTCCAAGATTTCATTGCCTTAATCCAAGGCAGTTAAAGCATTAATTCTACAATGTAAATGTACCCTAATTCTCCAGCATTGTACCTTTATACAGCCTCTCCATTCAAAGACATGGTTTTCCTTGGTTTTCCTTGGGTATCCTGCCTCTGGAGGAGAGTTTCAGGACTGCCCAACAATATCAGTGTGGAAAGCCTTTAGGAGCCTCAGACACCCACAACGTTCAAGATAGGCCTTTGCACACTGGCCCCTAAATGGCTTGATGGATCTGGACCAAACTTGGCACACATACTGTTCATTATCTGACTTAAAATAACTGAGAGGTTGGATTTTATTTTTTTTAAAAAAAAGGAAACAAAGAAACGAGGTAAGTTGGTTGTTGCAAGGTGACATGTGTATGACAGAATGGAAGCAAAGGAAGGAAGGAAGAGACAAAGCAGGGAAAGTTAGGAAGAAGAAAGGTAGGAAATGAAGGGGAAAGGAATCAAAAGAGGGAGAGAGGGTGTAATGTAGAACATTACAAACAAATATATATAACTAGGGCAATGAGGAGACTAAAGTAGTGGTGGTGCGTGTAGCTGAAGCTTGACTTTTATAATGTTTTTACTTGAGGCACTTTTTTTTTAAAAAAAGGAGTATCTCATTACCCCAACCAGAATCTTTTCTTTCAATATCTTCAGCCGCCTTCTTCTGAGGTAAATCATCTTCTCAATAAATGGACATGAGTCTTAATTAGAAAGAACTGATCAAGGAAATATTTATTTAAGGATTCACAGGTGTACAACGTTTCATGGTTATTCTGGATTCCTTTAAATGTTGTTACAGTTGACTTTGTTGTTGTTCATTCGTTCAGTCATCTCCGGCTCTTCATGACCTCATGGACCAGCCCACGCCAGAGCTCCCTGTCGGCTGTCACCACCCCCAGCTCCTTCAAGGTCAGTCCAGTCACTTCAAGGATGCCATCCATCTTGCCCTTGGTCGGCCCCTCTTCCTTTTACCTTCCACCTTCCCCAGCATCATTGTCTTCTCTAGGCTTTGCTGTCTCCTCATGATGTGGCCAAAGTACTTCAGCTTTGTCTCTAGTATCCTTCCCTCCAATGAGCAGTCAGGCTTTATTTCCTGGAGGATGGACTGGTGGGATCTTCTTACAGTTCAAGGTCCTCTCAGAACTTTCCTCCAACACCACAGTTCAAAAGCATCTATCTTCGCTTCGCTCAGTTGACTTTAGTTAAACAGTTTCCAATATAACTCTCAGTATGGATTTTACTTCCACCAGACTGGTTTTAAACTTATTTCACTGCAAAGTATCTTTCTTCTTTTAACTGACAATTCAAGGCACTGGCTTGCCTTTTTCTCCCTTCAGTTATCCCCACTGAAGTTATGGATTACTACTGGGGTTTCTTTTCCCCCTTAGCTCACGAGCTACTTGCTCATTTAAACAGGTCCAATTGACTCTCTAAACACACAGGCTGAAGACTTAAATCCCTTGGTTCAGTTTCTCAACACACCAGAACCACTTCCCTCCTTGACTTCCTCACCAAAGACTGACCAAAAGAAACTCACTTTTTAAAATGCCTGCTCCTGCCAAGTGGCAGTTAGCTCCGCCCCTTTGGCTTCTCTAACTTGGATACATTCTAACAGCTGGTTCCATCGCTATGGCAATGCCTCAGCTCAGGCGACACATAAGCAGGCCTGCAGTTATCCCAACATCAATAAACACATTTAAAACATACATTATAATTAGCTATTTCGTTACAGAGGGAAAGAAGGAAAAGAAGAAAATTGGGGAAAGGTGTGAGAAGGAGAAAGCATGAAAAAGTGAAGAAAAGAAAGAAAAAAGGAAGAAATTGGAAAAAAGAAAGAAAGAAAGAGGAAAAGAGGGAAAGTATATGAGGACCAACAAAGTCTATAAGGAAAGAAACAAAGAAGGACATGGCGTATTGAGGGAAAGGGAGGAAGAAAAGAAAGAGCCACAAAGAAAATATAAACCCTGGCAATGCTTGGTATATACTCTAGGAGCCATTATAATAAGAACTTCTGAAATGTGAGAATATATCTTGTAGTTTGGCTTCACAGGTGCAGTATCTTGACATATATTATATTTTATTCATTACTTTCCTATGAAGAAATTGCCACTAGGTGGTGCAAGCAAAATACACATTTTTCTTGTTCTCAGCTTTACTGAAACTTGAAGATTTGTCCTATATTCCTTTGAAAATCACACTTCCTTCTAAACAGATTGTGTCTATTTTTATTTAAAACATTACTCTGTTTGTACTACATTATTATAAACCAAAACAGAATTTTCACAATCTGTAATAGACTCATGACAAAAAGAAAATATCAAGAGAGGGAGAAGGAGAGAGAATAAGACAAAAGTTTTGCATTATTGTTATTGTGTGCTTTCAAGTCATTTCCAACATATGGCACCTCTAAAGTGAACATGCTTTGGGGTTTTCTGAAATGCAGAGTGTGTGATATGCTTGGGCTCTCGTGGCAGATCACACACTCTGGTCTCCAGAGTCATAGTCCACCACTTAGATAAACTAGTTCTCACAGTTTTGCATTGCAGTGGATAAACACAATGCCAGCTGTCTCTAGAATATGCCTACAGAAAAAGCCACAAAGAAAACACTCAGGCAACACCGGGTATGCACGCCAACCATTTTTAAAAACTGTCTTTACTGCAATTTTAATTTCTTTTAGAAAAATGCAACAAATACATATTTTCAAAAATGTGTCATTTTATGTAGGCAGATCATAAAGAAAATTACTTCGATATGAATAGACAGTAAATGGATATCACAGTTCTTCAAAAACATGGTCATAATCTCATTAGAAACATTTGTTTCATTAACTTTTCAGAAAGACTGTCTAGCCCAGTGTTTCTCAACCTGGGGGTCGGGATCCCTGGAGGGGTCACAAGGGGGTGTCAGAGGGGTCACCAAAGACCACAAGAAAACACAGTATTTTCTGTTGGACATGGAAGTTCTGTGTGGGAAGTTTGGCCCAATTCAATCGTTGGCAGGGTTCAGAATGCTCTTTGATTGTAGGTGAACTATAAATCCCAGTAACTACAAATCCCAAATGTCAAGGTCTATTTTCACCAAACCCCACTAGTGTTTACATTTTGGGCATATTGAGAATTCATGCCAAGTTTGGTCCAGATCCATCATTGTTTGAGTCCACAGTGCTCTCTGGATGTAGGTGAACTACAGCTCCCAAAACTCAAGGTCAATGCCCACCAAACGCTTCCAGTATGTTCTCTTGGTCATGGGAGTTCTGTGTGCCAAGTTTGATTCAATTCCATCATTGGTGGAGTTCAGAATGCTCTTTGATTGTAGATTAACTATAAATCCCAGCAACGACAACTCCCACAGGACAAAATCAATACCCTCCCCCAATCCCACCAGTATTTAAATTTGGGTGCATTGGGTCTTTGTGCCAAATTTGGTCCAGGGTATGAAAATGCATCCTGCATATCAGATATTTACATTACTATTCATAACTGCAGCAAAGTGACAGTTATGAAGTAGCAATGAAACTAATTTTATGGTTGGGGGTCACCATAACATGAGGAAGCATATTAAGGGGTCGTGGCATTAGGAAGGTTGAGAACCTCTGGTCTAGCCAGTCCTTTCAAAAGCTTCCAATGCTGCACTATCTCAATTTTGTGGCACCTGATAAAGCAGAAATCAGATTTCTACTGCCACTTGGCCCCATTTCCTAATTTGTATAAATGTTCTATGATCCAACTCTATATTTTGGACATTGTACCTTTTGTGGGTATTGCTGCAATAAGTCCTCAGTGTCAATGTTCTGAGAGTGTTTCCAGCTTGATAAAGGTAATGTTCAGTCAACTATATTTCCATCTTTCGCAATCAGAATATCAAAGTTCCCATTCATTTTCAAAACAAAGGTTCTAATAAAATGGGTTTGTCTTGAAGAAAAGTAGAGGCCCTTCCAGACAGGCCCTATATCCCAGGACTGATCCCAGCTTTTCTGCTTTAAACTGGATTATATGAGTCCCCATTGCCAGATAATCTGGGATAAACAGAAAACCTGGAATCAGATCCTGGGATATAGGGCCTGTCTGGAAGGACCCTATCATGCTTTTTCCACATTTTTATGCATAAAAATGTTTCGAAATAGTTTATCATTTCTCTTAGAAGAGAGTTTGGAAAACATTGATCTTGTCAATCCTTTGCATTTTACCCACTGGAGATTCATATAATTATGGAAAATATGCAATTGAAATATAGTGTGGTCCAAAAAAAAAAAGATTTGGAATGCTTCATTCTCTTTTGCTATTAAAGCTGAATTTTAGGAAATCTAAGACTGAGACCTCTCAATATAAGTGTTTTCTAAAGCCTTCTTAACTTTGAGGGCAATAGGATTTGGTCGAAATCTGCAAACCTGGTAAGATGTGTGATTTAACTGCAGTAATTCAGCTCACTGAGAGGCTTTCAACTTAGAATACATCTATTTGATGACTGGACTGTAATGGCAATGCCACAGGTGGGATTCCAACCAATTGTGTGTAGCCTGTTGTCAACCTTTGCAACCCAAAAGACAGTTGCATCTGTCAAGTAGGAAAATAAGGTACCACCTTAAAGTGTGGGGAGGCTAAATTAACTGATTTATGAGGCCATAAAGAAGACTCCAGCAAAGCATTCCAGCGGGGAAGCATGCGGGGAATGCGGAAGTGCTTCATCAGCGTCGCAGATGGATGATGAAAGCGACAGCTCCCCTGGTGGCCAGAAAAAGTTAAATAGCCTCTGTGTATGTCTGTATATGTTTGTATGTCAAAAATTGGCATTGAATGCTTGCCATATATGTGTACACTGTAATCTGCCCTGAGTCCCCTGCAGGGTGAGAAGGGCGGAATATAAAAGCTGTAAATAAATAAATACAGCTTAAATCTACTGTTATCATTTTGTTTTTGGGGACATAAAAATGTTTCTCTGATCCTACCCATTCCCCATAAGGCCTGGGAAGCCTCACTTTCCAACAAACATAGGGCTGCGGTGGTGTAATGGGTTAATACCTTGTATTGTTGAACTGCTGACCTGAAGGTTGGAAGTTCACAAGATGGTGTGAGCTCCCATCTGTCAGTCCTAGTTCCTGTCAACCTAGCAGTTTGAAAACATGCAAATGTGAGTAGTTAAATTGGTATTGCTTCAGTGGTAAGAGTCAAAGAGATGCCCCAAGCAATTCTGCTGGCCACACTAGCAGGAGGTGGCACCGCAGGCTCCTCAGCTTGAAAATGGAGAAAGCACCTTCCCAGAGATGAAAGCCAGAAATGAAAGGAGAACCCTCTGCCTTTGTTTGTGTTTGTCTGTCTCATTGTATATGATTACAAAAGGCATTTAACATTTGCCTGTGTATGTACATACTGTAATTCACTCTGAGTCCCTTAGGGGAGAAGGGCTGAATATAAATAAAATGTATTATTATTATTATTATTATTATTACGTATACACAAGACTGTTCAATTTTGATTTCTATGAGGAATGGCTGAAGCACTCAAAGCTGATGGCACATAAATGTATTGCTTTTTAATTGATTACAATATTTATACTACACCTAAAACATATTAAAAAGACTTTAATATGTAAAAGTCTTTAAAACTATAAATAACAGTATTTGGAGTTCACTAATGAGGTCCAAAAGCTTTAGAAATAAAGCCCTTAAATGAGCTTCCAGGGGAAAAAAGCATTTCACTCTCCTAGTAGATCTTAATCCTCAGGCAAGCAAATATGGGGAGAATATTGCACTCTAGGCTAGGAAAGCTGTTGGACTTTAAACACCACACAGCTGAGTAAAAAAGCAAGCAGTTTATTGAAAATAATTAAAAAGCAGTAGCAGTAAAAAAAATCACTCCATAAAAATAGGTAAATCCAAGTAGGTAGGAAGATAAGCATAAACTAATCGAAAATTAGTCCATCAGAGTTCATGAAAAACAAATACAGAAACTTCCAAAACTTGAATCAAGAAATCAGACAATGCACTTAACACATGAAGCTATCCAAGACAAAGCTTCCAAGGACCAGGAAAAACGTTGTGACTCAATTCCAACATTCTTTCATCTGACTACAGATTCTGTAGTTGGCACTTTTATCCCCTAATCTACTCTATGTCCCAAGCAGCCAGGAATGAATTTCGTTTCAGCCTTGACTCTGTAATCAATCTCTCTCTCAGTCTGGCAGAATGCCTGAGAGATTGTTTGTTTTGCCTGTGCTGACTGAAAATATGCCTTCTATCTACTGCCTCATTAATTTCTGCAGCTGGCCCAGGTGCCGAGCTCTTCTCAGGCTCAAAGTCCTGGGCATTCTCTGGTAGCAATTATCCCTATACTATTCACAGCTCATCACACAAACACACACACACGAAGTTACAAATACACTTTACAAATGTACCTGTTCTGAATTACATACAAATTCAATTTAAGAACAAGCCTACAGAACCTGTACTGTTTGTAACTTGGGGACTGCTAGTATATAAAAGTCAAAGTATATTTGCTTGTCTGTCTGTCTATATCACTAAGGATGTTGCAAAGTGACAATGGTCCTTTGTGAGGTCACTGAATTGTTTGTGACTAGGTGAAGTGACCCTCTATGACAGGGGTCCTCAAAATTTTTAAACAGAGGGCCAGGTCAGAGTCCCTCAAACTGTTGGAGAGCCGGATTATAATTTGAAAAAATCATGAATGAATTCTTATGCACACTGCACATATCTTATTTGTAGTGCAAAAACACTTGAAAACAATACAATAATTAAAATGAGGAACAATTTTAACAAATATAAAATTAGTATTTCAATGGGAAGTGTGGGCCTGCTTTTGGCTGATGAGATAGGATTGTCGCTGTTGTTGTGTGCTTTCAAGTCATTTCAGACTTAAGTTGACCCTGAACAAATGACCTTGGAGGGCCGAGTCCGGCCCCTGGGCCTTAGTTTGAGGACCCCTGCTCTATGATGTCACTGGGAAAAAGGTAACCTTTATATGAACGGAATTGGAGGAAGGCAGGAAAAAGAAGTGAATGAAAGCAATGGAAAAGATGAAGAGAGGGAGAAACTCAAGAGTGTGCCAGAGGGCGAGAAAAGAAATGGGAAAATGAATAAGGAGAGGGAAGGAAGGAAGGAAGGAAGGAAGGAAGAGAAAGAAAAAGAAGGAAATTAGGCCTGGGTAACAACGGAAAAATTTGTTTCTAAAATCGATTTGTTGGGGGTTTTTTTGCGTTTCGTTATTTAAAAGAATTACAAAATTTTCCTTTAAAAAAGTTCGGTATTTACGAAATTTCGTTATATGGTAAAAAATTAACGAATCGATTTCGAAACAATAACGAATCGATTCGTTAATGGCGGACGCGACCGCGAAATACGCTAAAAAACTCCAAAACCTTCTGAAGCTTCCCTCTCCCTCTGTTGTTGACTGTTGGTGTGATATTATAATTTTTTTCACTAATTAAACCATAAAACTGGCCCAGACATGCGGAAATAATAACGAAACGACCTCAAAACAATAACGAAACGAATACAATATCGAAATACGAAGCATTTACAAAACGTTTTTGAAAATTCGTTTTTTTAATAATTGCTCCAGAATGGTTCGTTATCGTTTTGTAATTGAAAAAAAATAACGAATTATTAACGAATTACGAATTAACGAAACGAAACCGCCCAGCCCTAAAGGAAATAGAAAGAGAGGAAAGAAAGAAGGGATGAAGGAAGGGGTAAGGGAGGAAAAAGGCAAAAGGCAGGAAGGTGTATAAGAGAAATGGAAGAAGGAAAGAAAGAGCTACAAATAGAGCCTGCCCAAAGTCAGTTGTCAGATTGTGGCCATGCAAACATTGTGAGGAAGGCCTTCTCAGAGCTGGAGAAGGGAGAAAGCAGGAGGCAGCAGCCCTTCCAACACACGGCTAAGGTGGGTATATATGTCAGTGCTTCATAAAAGGAAACTGATAATTGAGCTGGATTCAAAAAAACTTTTGGTACGAACACAAATGTCTGAGAAACCAACATGAGACCGTTTTATATCATTCAAGAAGCATATTGATTACTAGACTCAATAACTTGCTCTTTCATTTGTAAGGGAGTTGCTAGACATTCTTTGTGTTATATAATGCAATTGTGACAGTTGACCTTGAAGGGAGAAAATACACCCAGAACACTCGGATTCTCATCTCTTGCACACAATGTTGAGTAAAAATTTTGTAATTTCAGACTGATGCCTTTGTGAACCTTCTAACAGTTTATGTGGTCTGGGAGAGTTGTAAAATACACAGACCTGTTCCTTATCTGTGGTAGGACAAAGACCACACGAGCTGCATATGCTTAGCTTTATCTAATCTCTCCAAATGTATCCACAAGTGAAGGGCAAACAAGTCTATTTCAAAACAAGAACTGTAATTTCACTGGATTAGTTTAACTCTATATCATATTCTTGTGGTTTCAAATTATTATTTGGAAAACATTGATATGTAGCTGTAATATTTATATAGGCATGGACAAAGACACAGAGTCCATATTCTTGAAGTTCTTACCATAATAAATAACTTCTGATCATACTGTGATTTCCAATTATTATTATTTAGAATAGTTTGATTTGAAGTGATAATATGTATGTGCATATAGACATAATTATGGAGTCCATATTCTTTTGCAAATAGAGCACAAGTTTTGTATTTGTTTTTGGCAAAGTTTTTGGTGACTTATCCATTAAGAATAAGAAGGAGCTTTTTTCAATAGACATTTTATAAGCGGATTAAGTAAAAATTGAATTGCACTAACAATTAGCAGCCGATACAATAAGGCGACTTGGAAGGTGCTGAGCAGACTGTGCTCTGACACCATGAGATGCAGAGCTAACCTTTAGAAATGGGACTACAAAGTGGAGTCCCCAGCATTCAAGTGTGGAGAAGAGCAAACCACAGACCACCCGTTGCAATGCAGTCTGAGCCCTGTCACATGCACAAAGGAGGGCTGATGATTGCCCATGCCTGGTCTAGATTCAACAAGCCATGTAGGGGCCTTTGTGACACAAAGAAACCAACTTTTATTTCTATATAGATAGATTTTGAATAACTTCTGGATTTTAAGAATTATAAAGCAACAGCTTGCAGTAACTTTTCTTTTTATGTAATCCAATTTGATATAGGGGTCTAAACACCCTAAACACATTGGATCCTACCTGATCTTGGAAATAGGGTGATTATTTGGATAGGAGACTGCCAATGATACCAGATGCTGAAGGCTATGCCCTAAGATGTCCTTTATGTTGGTTTCCATGTCCTGGAAGACTACACCCCAACCCCACACATTGGCAAGGGAACCAATGTTTTCCCTTTCATCTCATTGCTTCCTCAGCTGATGTTTGTGCAACAACTTCCAGCCCATGTATATTACAGAATTAATTCAGAGGACTGAGAAATGCCCACAAACGCTTCCAGCAGTGATAATAGCAGCTAACTAAAACTGCAGAAAGCATTCCTGCAGATACGGGGGTCTTACTGTATTTCAGATGAAGGAACTGGCAAACCACTTCTGAGCATTCTTTGATTATGAAATTCATGGGATCAGCATGTTGGCAGGTGACTTGAAGGCACATACAGTACATGCATACAGTCACGTCCTTCAGTGCTGCTCAAAGCCTTAAATACCTGTTTAGAGTCTTGTCATCTCTTCCTCTTTCCTTCAATTTCCTCCATATTCATAAGAGTGTGTCCCAAACCAGACCTTCAGCTTCTCATGTGAATTGCTTCACAAGTACTGTACTTTCATCTCCAGCACAACACTGTGCTGATCTTGCTGCTTCTGTTGTCATAATGGTAGCTTTGTGACATCATCTCACCACAGTGCAAAGCTGTGACCAGGGATTGCAAAACAGATTAAAAATATATTAAATACACTTAAAATTGCCTATATTTATTTCTTTATTTATATCCCGCTTTATCTCACCATATGGAGACTCAAAGTGGTTCACAATCAAAATATTACAACTTAAAATATACAAATATACAATAATAAACCTGTATATCATTATATATCATTATATATTATCAGTAGTAATTATATTTAATATATTAGGACTACTATATTATTATATATTACTATATTGTATTATTATTAGTGTTATATTGTATTACATTATAATATTATCTATATTATATCTATATACAGTATATTATTAGCATAGCACAATATTAGTTCTTCTTTTCCATCTTGGAAAGAAGTGACAAGTGGAGTGCCGCAGGGTTCCGTCCTGGGCCCGGTCCTGTTTAACATCTTATTAATGACTTATATGAAGGGTTAGAAGGCATGATCATCAAGTTTGCAGACGACACTAAATTGGGAGGGATAGCCAATACTCCAGAGAACAGGAGCAGGATTCAAAACAATCTTGACAGATTAGAGAGATGGGCCAAAACTAACAAAATGAAGTTCAACAGTGACAAATGCAAGATACTCCACTTTGGCAGGAAAAAAACCGAAATGTAAAGATACAGAATGGGGGACACCTGGCTTGAGAGCAGTACGTGTGAAAAAGATCTTGAAGTCCTCGTGGACAACAAGTTAAACATGAGCCAACAATGTGATGTGGCAGCAAAAAAAGCTAATGGGATTTTGGCCTGCATCAATAGGAGCATAGTGTCTAGATCTAGGGAAGTAATGCCACCCCTCTATTCTGTTTTGGTTAGACCACACCTGGAATATTGTGTCCAATTCTGGGCACCACAATTCAAGAGAGATTGACAAGCTGGAATGTGTCCAGAGGAGGGCGACTAAAATGATCAAGGGTCTGGAGAACAAGCCCTATGAGGAGCGGCTTAAGGAGCTGGGCATGTTTAGCCTGAAGAAGAGAAGCTGAGAGGAGATATGATAGCCATGTATAAATATGTGAGAGGAAGCCACAGGGAGGAGGAGCAAGCTTGTTTTCTGCTTCCCTGGAGACTAGGATGCGGAACAATGGCTTCAAACTACAAGAGAGGAGATTCCATCTGAACATTAGGAAGAGCTTCCTATGTATTGTAGAAGGCTTTCATGGCCAGAATCACTGGGTTGTTGTAGGTTTTCCGGGCTATATGGTCATGTTCTAGAGGCATTTAGTCAGGAGAAAATGCCTCTAGAACATGGCCATATAACTCAGAAAACTTACAACAACCCAACTTCCTGACTGTCAGAGCCGTTCAGCAGTGGAGCTCTCTGCCCAGGAGTGTGGTGGAGGTTTTTAAACAGAGGCTGGATGGCCATCTGTCAGGGGTGCTTTGAATGCAATATTCCTGCTTCTTGGCAGGGGGTTGGACTGGATGGCCCATGAGGTCTCTTCCAACTCTATGATTCTATGATTCTGCCTTGATATTCTGGGTTACTATGGCTGTGTAGAAAGGTCCTCACCTTGGATTTTAGTTTGGACTTGAAAACTTTCCAAGGTTTTGGTTAATTGGGAAAAAAGAGTTTAAGTACCTTGGAGAGTTCCTGGACAGGAATGGAAGGGAGGGCAGCTCTCCTGACAGAGAACCAGCCAATCAGGCGGAAACTCCGAGAAGCCCCGCCCCCTTCCTCCGCGCGGCTGGCCCCGCCCCTCGCCTTGCGCCGCCACATCAGGCCCCGCCCACTTCCTCCCCGCTCTTTCTGTCGCCTCAGCGCCGCCTCCGTCCCTGGCTTTCAGTTCCTCGCCGGGCCCCGCCTTGGAAGCCGCTCCGGCCCTCGAGAGCCTGACAAGAGAGGCTTTGAGTCGCCACCAGCAGCCCTTCTTCTCTTTTCGGGTAAGTGGGCCTTGCCTGCTCCTCGTGCACGGCTGTGTTTTCTGTGAGGGAAAGAGGGCGCGTGGGCCAAGGCCTAGGTCCTCGCGCGCCCTCCTCGCGTGAGGGAGGGGCGCTTCCTCCTCCCTCCCTCCCCCCCCCCCCCCCCCCCCCCCCCCCCCACCTTAGAGTTCTACTTCCTCTCTCCTGCCAGTCCCCGGGACTTTTCTTGCCTCCCATCCGGGTTCATGGTTTGTTCCGCATGAGCCCCGCCCCCTTCTCTTCCCAGCTGTGCCTAGTGTTTGGTGGCTGAAGCAGAGCTGTTTGTTTACCTCCTCTGCAGCCAAACACTTCCACGCCTTTTTCGCTAGGCGTCGGTTCGCAACACAGTAATTCCAGCAGACAAGAGTCCTTTGTCTCACCCTGGTCATTCCACACACATATAAACCTTTTTTCCTAGTTCCAACAAACCTCACAATCTCTGAGGATGCTTGCCATAGATGCAGGCGAAACGTCAGGAGAGAATGCCTCTAGACCAGTGTTTCTCAACCTGGGGGTCAGGACCCCTGAGGGGGTCGTGAGGGGGTGTCAGAGGGGTCACCAAAGACCATAAGAAAACACAGTATTTTCTGATGGTCATGGGGATTCCATGTGGGAAGTTTGAGCCAATTCTATCGTTGGTGGAGTTCAGAATGTTCTTTGATTGTAATGAACTATAAATCCCAGCAACTACAACTCCAAATGTCAAGATCTATTTTCCCCAGACTCCACCAGTGTTCACATTTGGACATATTGAGTATTCGTGCCAAGTTTGGTCCAGATCCACCATTGATGAGTCCACAGTGCTCTCTGGATATAGGTGAACTACAACTCCAACTCAAGGTCAATGCCACCCAGTATTTTCTGTTGGTCATGGGAGTTCTGTGTGCCAGGTTTGGTTCAATTCCATCATTGGTGGAGTTCAAAATGCTCTTGGATTGTAGGTGAACTATAAATCCCAGCAACTACAACTCCCAAATGACAAAATCAATCCTCGCCCAACCCCACTAGCATTCACATTTGGGTGTATTGGGTGTTTGTGCCCAGTTTGGTCCAGTGAATGAAAATGCATCCTGCATACCATATATTTACATTACCATTCATAACAGTAGTAAAATGACTGTTATGAAGTAGCAACGAAAACAAAATATGGTTGGGGGTCACCACAACATGAGGAACTGGATTGAGAGGTTGCGGCATTAGGAAGGTTGAGGACCACTGCTCTAGACCATGGCCATATAGCCCGAAAAAACCTACAACAACCCAGTAATTCAGTTGCATAATAATAATAAAGTATGGACTGTCGATGTTGCAATCTCAGGTGACAGCAGGATTGAAGAGAAACAACTGGAAAACCTGACACGATATAAGGATTTAAAGATCGAACTGCAAAGACTCTGGCACAAGCCAGTCAAGGTGGTCCCAGTGGTGATCGGCACATTGGGTGCAGTGCCTAAAGACCTTGGCCTGCACTTAAGCACAATTGGCGCTGACAGAATTACCACCTTCCACCTGCAGAAGGCCACCTTATGGGGATCTGCACACATTATTCGTGGATACATCACACCAGACCCGTAGCCAGGATTTTGATTCGGGGGGACAGCTGAGTGAGTGAGTGAAAGAGGGTCTACCCTAGGAAACCATTTGGAAAGGGAGGGAAATGATATTTTGACATACACTGGGATGGCTGGGTGACTTAGCTGTTGGTCTTCAATTCAACAGATGGCTTTTGTCCAGGGCTTAAGTTCACCCAGTTAGAATCCTGAAACCTAAATCAATTCATTTTTTTCTAAATTACAGTTGACCTCTTGTATTAGTGATAACTTATTAAATCAGCATTTAGCATAAGTTCAGTTGACTTAGTGAACCTATTTTAATTGGAACTAACAACAGGATTCTGGCCTTACATGGCTGTTCAGAGTTTAGGAAGTTCTGTTCTGCTTTCCACTTACATTGTATATTTAGGCTGCCACCTTTGGATCTGAGACCTTTATTCCTAAGAGCTTATTGAGATGTTACACATTTTTGTGTTGTTTTAGACAGGCAGCTCTACTTTTATCTGAGTATGTTTGTTGGGAGATAAAGTTTGGACTCAGTTAAGTTCTTCCTCAAGACAGTATTAGCATACAACAAATTTGGACAAGCCTTGGCACACTTCTTCTTCACTATCCAATTTAAAATAATTTTGTGACTTATTTGTCCTCAACACCCTGTAGGTACTAAAAGCTCATGCAACCATATTGTGGGTACTTAATTTTTAATTTTATTCTTACATTATAAACATATAGTCATAACTATAGTTTGGGAGTTCACAATGTGAGTATGTATCATTCAGTTTTTTGGGACACTGAGTAACACTTGATTGTTTTTGAAAGAAAACTGAGTTTACTTTTGGGAAATGACAGTGAATTTACAAGATCAAATTAATTCACTGTTGATTTTTTTTTTCATAGAATGAATAAATGTGGCAGTGATGCTGAAGTTGGAAAAAAGCTGATGTAACCAAAACCAGGATGAGTCAGCTGCCAGAACATCAAGGAAATGCCCTGGGCAGCAGTTTGGGGTCCCATCCTTCTTTACGAGATGTTCATTCCATAAACCCCACACAGCTAATGGCAAGAATTGAATCTTATGACACCAGGGAGAAAAAAAGCATATCTGATGTCCGAAGGACTTTCTGCCTTTTTGTTACCTTTGACCTCTTATTTGTAACTTTACTGTGGATAATAGAGTTAAATGTGAGTATTTCTAATAACAGACTTTTCTCTGAGAATTTGTAAGATCAGGAATGGTGAATTCCAAGACTTCATTCTATTGGATTACAGTCTCATGTCCATTTACCTGGGAGAAAGCCCCATCGAACTTAATGAGAGTTATTTCTGAGTAGTCGTGTCTAAGATTGTTTTTCTTGCTAATTGTCTTCAAATTGATTTTGATATATGATCACCTATAAATGAAAGACCTACAAGTCACCCTGTCATCCACAAATTCAGAGCTGAAAGAGTATATTTCTCTGGAATGAGGTCTTCCTTTCATCCTCCACCTTACCAGCCATTGTCATTTCTTCTTATGATATGGACAAAATATGACAGACTCTGTTTAAGGAGAGTTCAGTCCTGATTGCTCTAAGACTCATTTATATATCTTTTAGCAGACTGTCATAAACATAGAACTTGTCTACAGCACCATATCTCATATGTGTTTATTTTCTTCTTATCCACTTTCTTCACTGTCCAGCTTTTGCAACCATACATAGAAATGGGAAATATAATATTACAGATAATCTTAATTTTAGTATTCAGTACTACATTTAGTTCCTTCATAGGTACCCTTCCAAGTCTTACTCTTCTGTTTTTTTATTGCAGTCTCCACTCTTATTAATTATAGTCCCAAAGGACTGAAAATCTTGAATTATTTTGATGTCTTCATCATCTATTCTAAAGTTAATTAAATCATCTGTAGTCATTATTTTTATTAATGCTTCACACTTTCAATCTTGACACCTCTAATAATTGTTCCAAATCTTTGCTATTTTCTCCAAGTAGTATGGTGTCAATTGCATATCTAGATTGTTGGTGTTCCTTTCTCCAATTTCCCACCTCCTTCTTCCAAGTTGAATACTGCTTTATTTATGTAAAAGTCAACATATGTTTGTATGTACAGGGTGAGGCAGCATAACTTCCTTTTTTAAAAAGCACGCCATTCAGTCGGTTGAAGACATAGCGGAGCTGTGGTGGTCTCGTTCGAGAGGCAGGAGTATAAAGTTTTGTCCTGACGCCGTTCAGTCGCCATCACGCATTGGAACAGTGAGCAGTGTGCTTTTGCCGTTGAGGCCTACTTTTCGAGCGGATTTGGGGTGGCCGGCCTGCTCTCTAGATTTAGCCCTTGTGATTTTTTTCTATGGGTTTTTTTGAAATCCCGTGTTTATGTGAACCATCCAAGGACCCTACAAGATTTGAAGACCAACATCCAGGAAGAAATTGCTATGCTGGCAAGAGTCATGACAAACGTCAGAAATCGGTTTACTCAGTGTATGAAGAATGTAGAATTGGGGACGTCACCTACCTAATTTGATCTTCAAAACTACGTAAAACAAAACTTTAGATATGTGCCTACATTATATATATATATATATATATATATATATATATATATATATATATATATATATTCTGATTCATACAATGGGTTTATTAAGTTTTGAAAAAAGAAAGTTATGCTGCCTCACCCTGTATATATGTTGGGTTGTACGTTTGTGCCTCAAAGGCTCCTACATGGCCTGATAAATTTGGACCAGCCTTGGCACACTTATTCTTCACTATCTAATTTAAAATAATTGAGGGGTTTGAAAAAAGAAAAGAAGGGAGAAAGAAAAAGAAGGAAGGCAAGGAAGAGAAAGGAAAGGAAAATGTATGAAGAGAAGAAATGGGAGAAAGAAAGGAAGAGAATGGACATTGTGAGGTAGACTTTCTCAGATGGAGAAGAGAGAAAGCAGGTGGGCAGCAGCCACCCCCCCCCCCCCCCCCCGACATCCATTCAACCTGTGTATTTGCGCTAGTGTATGATACTTTCAATATACAAGTTAAGCAGATACAGTGATAAAATGCAGCCTTGCCTGACCCTCTTGCCAATTGCAAACTGTTCTGTTTCTCTGTGTTCTTTCCTAACAGTAGCTTCTTGTCTGGAGTACAGGTTGCACATCTAGACAATCAAAAGCTGTGGCACCCCCATTTAGGAATAAGCCATAGCTTTTTGTGACTTATAAAATCAAATGCTTTAAAGTCTATAATCACAGTTCACTTTCTTTTGAAAATATTTAGTGTTCTCCATTATCCAGGATATGTTTGTGATATGATTCCTTGTGTTTCTTCCCTTCCTGAAACCAGCTTTGACAGCTTTCATTTTTTTTGCAGGATTTTAAACATCACTTTGGGAAATTAATGAAATGGTCCTGTTATTACTGCAATCCCTGGTGTGCCCTTTCTTGATGATTATATTTAGTATATTGAGCAAATCTCCCTAGACTTCCAAATGCATGTTTTCATGTTGTGAAATGGCCTAAGGAAATTACAGTAGCATGGTTTCAACTAACTGGCTACATTCATGGAACTGGTTTTCATGCCGCCTCTTTGCAACAGAATAACTAAATTTAAAATTATATTAAAATCTGAACTCAAAGCAAAAACAGACAGTGACACAGTGGCTATGAATGGCCACTACTCAATATGAAAAGCATAAAATCAGGTCAAAAGTCTAATGTAATAATAAAATATTTGCAGCCTGGCAAGAGACCTCAGGCTAACGTTGGGAAAGTAGCTCTACTACAGCCTTTTAAATTTATGGTTGGGAAGATTGAAAGGGAATTTTCCTGCTTTGCACTTTTAGTACCTGCTGACAAATGTGGGTATTACAGAGGATGGATCTACATTGCCATAGAAGGCACTTTGGAACTGTATTGAACTGCATTGTATGGTCTACTCTGCATTATACAGCATTTTATGCATTATATGGCAGTGTAGATCCAGCCTGAGAAGTTTACTGCTTTAGCCCATGAGAGAATTTTTTAAAATATGTAATGAAATATTCCCCATGACACCATGAACAGCATAATTCCCTCCCTTGCTCTTTAAAAATGTATACTTTTATAAATATATCACCATTCAGTAACATCTGCTTTTGTTGAGTGGATCTTATTGCTAGGCTTACAGGATAGCAGAATAAAAGTAACAAAGACAGGTTGTTTTCCAAACATTCAGGAGTGATACCAGATGTTGTAAAAGGCTCCTATAAAACAGGATAAGATGCTGCGTGGGGACTGGCAGCCACCAGAAACATCTTTGAGTAATGCATGTAATACATGACACATATCCTGCCCATCTTATTTTATTGTTTTAGTAACAGGCAGTCCCTGAGTTACAAGCATCCGACTTACAAATGACTCATAGTCAAGAACAGGGGTGAGACAATAGGAAGTGTCAGAAATCTACCCCTACCAAGGGAAATTCACTCCTGAAAGAATTATCATGGAGAAAAGGTGTCTCCACTGAAGCTTTATCACCAATCCTTGTTTCCGCAACAAGCCAAATTGTTCTAAATCTAATTATCAAAGTGCGGTGAAATCTTCTGAACAGAGACACAGACAATAAAACAAACACCACAGATGTGTTAACCCTTATCTATGCTACCCAAAGCTGTGCTTTTATTTATTTGGGTAGAGTTGCACTTAAAATGTATCTATTCTGACTCATATATACATCTATCTTAAGAACAAACCTACAGAACCAATCTTGTTCATAACTCGGGGACTGCCTGTACATAGAATGTGTCACTTATAACTGTGTGTGTATATATTAATATGAGGGGATATTTTATTTCTGCTTAGGTAAATGGAGGCATTGAGAACACATTAAAAAACGAAGTCCTTCATTACGACTATCACTCTTCATATTTTGATATATTTGTAAGTATTTATTTTCTGTTCTTTAATTTTTCTATATGAAGAAGCTTTGTCTAAGAAACCTGAAAAGAATAGAAAACTGCTAATCAAAAAGTATATTTCTACAAACATATTTGAGAAATGCATGTTAGTGCGGAGAGTTCCATTAATAAACCGTCCACATTGGCATTTATTATTTCACACCCATCACAAGCCTATTTTAGACCTCTAATAAACTTTTCAAAACAGAAGTAACCACTTCAGGATAACAGTATTATCAGCTTAATGACCCATGACCTAATTTAATTCGGCAGAAATGCTGAAATATTCAGGGTTTCTGTGTTGGAGGAACACATCAAATGTCTTCAGTTCTAGTATTCAGATGAGTTCTGGTTGTTCTAGGCTGGTAGATCTTGGGGTTTTATGGGAACAAAATAGGTCCCAAAATCTTAACCTCCCATAAGCTTGATGATATCAGTGGGCATCCTGTCTATATTGGTAATGAAACTGAGAAATAATTTACAGTTTCTGCAACTGGAACTGAACAGTAAGTTTGGTTAAGAAAAATACACTTAAGATAGCTAAAGTTTTAAAAATATAAAAGTTCTGGTTTGAAAGTCAAATGAGGAAATATCCCAGAGAAAAGAGAATCCAAGGACCAAAAAAACCCAGAGAGACCTGATGATTGACAGAAGACAGATGGGCTTGAGAGAAAGGGAAAGGGAGTTGACGAATATTGAGTGCTAACCCAAGGATTGTGGAAGACTTCATAGTTACTAAGTACATGGGGAAGTGAATTTGAGTAGAAAATGAAAATGCCACAATAGATTAGGTAATACAAAAAAGCAAATTCTATTCTTAAGTTCAATTTCTTGGTGATAAAATAAGGAAAGCAGTGATGAAAAACTTCCCTCCCTGCTTTGCGTATGTTATCACTAAGAAATTGTACTGTAGAAATCACAAAGGGCACTTCTGAATAGATTTTTAGTAATAGATCTCTAAAATTAAAAAAGAAGAAGCCAAGAGATGATATCACTTGTTGGAAAAGATGGTAATACTGAGATAAGTGGAAAGTAGTAGGAATAGTGGCCGATTGGATTATGGGTGGATTGAATGGAAAAAGACAGGCATGGCCCAGAGTTTGTAGGACCTGAGAGGTTTTTGTATAACCTCTTAGAGGTCTCTCATTCCTAGGGTAGCTGTAAGTCGAATGAGAGGCAGGATGCTATGTATCAGATATTTTAAAAATTGGGCCTGGTTGGTGGAGTTATAAAGTACTGTAAAAGAGATGGATTTTAGAAAATAGGAGCCCCCGGTGGCACTGTTTTTTTTTATAATTTTTTTAATTATTTTATCATGGTTTAATACATTTGTTATACCTTGTTTGTTTTACAGCAGATACATAGTATTCAGTACAACCTACCATACTTTTGGCATCTAGTGTTATTTTTCTGCTTATACATATTATCTATTCCTCACCGCTGTGCTCCCCTCCCCCCTCCCAAGCCACAGCTTTTACATATCATCTGTCCAAAAGTTCAATTCTTCTTGTGGAGGTAACTTTCCTTCTTTATTTTTAAATCCTTTTTCGATAAATTTTCTCCATACATCATCAAAAGCACTTCGTTTCCATATACCTCTTTTAACTTTTAATATACATGTCAACTTACAATTTATTGCCAATTTCCATACTTCCTTATACCACTTCTCTATTTGTATATATTTATTTCTTTTTTCCAATACCTTGGTATAAGCAGTCTTGCTATTGTGGCACAGTGGGTTTAACTGCTGAGCTGCTGAACTTGCTAAACGAAATGTTGGTGGTTTGAATCTGTTGAGCGGGGTGAGCTCCTACTGTTAGCCCCAGCTTCTGCCAAACTAGAAGTACAAAAACATGCAAATATGAGTAGATTAATAGGTATCACTAGGTGAGAAGGTAGTGGCACTCCATGCAGTCATACCGCCACATGATCTTGAAGGTGTCTACGGAGAGCCTTGGCTCTTTGGCATAGAAATGGAGATTATTGCCACCTCCCAGAGTTGGACACGACTAGACTTAATGTGAAAAGGAAATCTTTACTTTACACTACAATCATGTAAAACATTTCTTTTGTTGTATTATATACTTGAAAGCAGAAAACAAACCAGAAAATGTGAAAAAAATCAGCAATGAAAACAAAACAGTTCACACTTAACAAGTGCTCCATTTTCTTGCAATAAGAAAGGGAGAGAGAAGAAAGCTGGCTTTGGTGTAAATAACAAGAAGAACAATTTAAATGCGATAGTATTCTCAGAATTCTCTCCCTTAAAAATGTAGCCCTCTAATCACTAATGTAACCCTCTAAGCCCCCAGTGGCGCAGTGGGTTAAATCCCTGTGCCGGCAGGACACGTCGCAGGTTCGAATCCGGGGAGAGGCGGATGAGCTCCCTCTATCAGCTCCAGCTCCTAATGCAGGGACATGAGAGAAGCCTCCCACAAGGATGATAAAAACATCAATTCATCCGGGCGTCCCCTGGGCAACGTCCTTGCAGACAGCCAATTCTCTCACACCAGAAGCGACTTGCGGTTTCTCAAGTCGCTCCTGACACGACCAAAAAAAAAAAATCACTTTGGCTGGAGGGGTTGTGCTCTCGACAGCATTATTCAGATAGAGTTACATTGATTGCATGTGATCAGAGGTTGAATAAATCTGAGATCAGCATATTATACAGAAAATATTTGTTACAGCCTGTTTTATGAAAACAATATTTTTGAGGAGGAAACCTTTATAAGGAAGTGGCTGAAAAAAATGAGGCGGCAAGTGTAGAATGATGTCCATAAGTTGCCTCAGGAGAAATGTGGGATGGGATGGTGACAGAAAAAGACGAATGATGCCACATTTTAGTTTTCTAAATCAATATTGTAAAAATCTTTTTTGTTCCCCACTTTCCAAACTTTTCTGTAGCTCCTGGCTGTCTTTCGGTTTAAGATTTTGATACTTGCCTATGCGTTGTGCAGATTGCGACATTGGTGGGCAATCGCAGTAAGTAGCAGATTTTTTAACAGATAAGGGCAAGTGGTGTTGACTTGGCAGCATGTCCATAATGTAATATGCTTTCCAAAACTGCATCGCTTCTATCATTATAGACTATATAGCAGCGCCAGGTTTTTTGTATTTAATAGCTTTTTGAGGTCCATATATTCATGTTTCTGTGGATGGTGTGACATAGCTAAGAAAGTAAGCTCTGTACAACAAACCTGCCTGTGTTCTGTTTCCATTTATTACACATAAGCAAAATAGGGGTTTTTTTCTTGTTCTGGCATGTTGTTTGCTTACTGATTGACTGTTTGGAACTGTTTCTTGCATTTCTTTGGCTCTGTTTTATCTCTTTTAGAAGGTGTACTTCAGATTAAGGGCTAACTGTGGAATATTTTCCTATGTTATTACTTCATTTCTGTAAAACTTCCAGGGTGGATGCTTCCTCAAGTTGCTTTGGTTGCAATTAGTTGTAATTATTTTCTTCAATGAGGTAGGAATACTGGAAATAATATATTTAGATACATAATTAACTACAGATCACACGTCTGTGAGTGAACTGAAGATTTGTATTCCCATGTTTGGAATCATAGATGAAAAGGAGATGAATTTGACAATTCATGGATATTTAGTTCGAACTTGCTAAGTTCAGAATTTTAATAATTGTTAATTGCCCAGCATGGATTACAGTTTTTGTGTGGTTGGGTATTTGTGATACTTTCCTGTGGCTTGTGAAAGTAAACTAGAAGATACACCTGCATTCATAACCATTAATCTTTCTTTCAGTTTACAACTGCAGTAACCAGTGCCTTCTTGTTAACAAAAGTAATCATTTCAAAGGTAGGTTTATCATTGTAAATGTTCATTTAAATTGTATTCTGTCATTCATCTGTTGTAATATATTTTTATAATTTATTTTCTCTCTTCTCACCCCCTTTCAGCTGTTGTCTCAAGGTCCTTTTGGCTATGTGTTGCCCATCATATCTTTCATTCTTGCCTGGATAGAAACCTGGTTCCTAGATTTCAAAGTTTTGCCACAGGAAGCAGAAGAAGAAAACAGTATGTTCCTTTGCTGTCTGTAGTAGCCAGAAACATTGTTTGTCTTGCATGCTGAAGGAATTTTGTAGGGTATAATAGCGCTGGAAAGAGAAGGCTGCTTTGGTATCCACAAAATTGTAAGATAATGTTATTTAAAGTGTGATAATGCTGTGATACATTATTATTTTAAAAGATTTTGTAATCATGACTTCTTTTTTGTCTGTAGGACTGCTACTGGTACAAGATGCCTCTGAGCGAGCTGCTCTTCTTCAGCCTGGACTCCTTTCTGATGGACAGTTTTATTCCCCTCCTGAATCCGAAGCAGGTAAGGAAACATTTTCTTCAGAGACTTAAATAACACTATGTAACAAAATTTGGGGAAAAAACTTCCTGTTTTGAAAGTGTTCTTTCCTGTTTATTTGGGTGATACTTACTTTAAAAGGTTATACTCCAGAAACTTACTTTTTGTGGTGGCCACAAGCTTTGTTGAATTGGTTGAGACTCTGTGAGATATTTTCTGTGAGATGTTTTTTTGGTTATTGCTAGATTGATTTTAGATTGTATCTTGTAAATTGTACCCTGTCCTTTCTTTGTTGTACACCGCTGTGAGTCGCCCTCGGGCTGAGAACAGCGGTATATAAGCACAGTAAATAAATAAATAAATAAAATTTATTGAAAAATTATAGCAAAAAATGTGCTGCAGGATGTCCCACAGAAACAAAGTTTTTGCAGTTCAATAAACCTTTCCCACGTATTTATGATAGAACCAATTAGGAAATGATATTTGTAACCCAGAAACAAAAATCGTGTTACGTAGTATTATTTAAACATGACAGTACATATAGTCAGTTCAAAGCTTGGGAAGAGAAAGGAATCTATAGAATGAAATGTTTATTTTTATCAGGAAATTCTGTTCAAATGGAAGCATTAAAATAAATTGCAGCCAATTAATCCATCCTGGTAGCAATTAATGCAAATAAATACATATAAATAAATAAAGAACTACTCCACTTTTGAATCAGCTACATTGGCTTCCAGTTGTTTCTGGGCACAATTCAAGGCAGGCATGTAGCCGGGGGGGGGGGGGGGGCTCGGGGGGCTTCAGCCCCCCCCGAAATTCTCATGGTGGTTCGCGAAAAGGCCTTACTGGTGCATTATTTAAACTGTTATGTTTATTAATATCATGATTTGATCACCATTCTCAATATATCCCATATGCATGGGGGTATTGGGGTAATGATACAAAAGGTTTGCTAGGCTAGACCCTCTTTCACTCAGACTCAGCCCCCCCGAAACTCAGCCCCCCCCCCCCGAAACCCCCCCTGAAAATTTTTTAGCCCCCCCCCCCCCCGAAACGAAATCCTGGCTACGGGCCTGATTCAAGGTGTTGGCTTTAGTCTATAAAGCCCTAAACGGTTTGGCCCCAGCTTACTTGAGGGACCACATCTCCTCCTATCAGCCCGCACGAGCCCTGAAATCATCAGGAGAGACCCTTCTCTCGGTCCCACCACTGTCACAAGTATGGTTGGTGAGAACGAGAGAGGCCTTCTCAGTGGTGGCCCCGCGGCTCTAGAATTCCCTCCTCAAACAGGTGCATTTGGCCCCGTCATTACTGGCCTTTCGCTCCAACATTAAAACCTTTCTATGGAAGCAGACCTTCCCCAACAACCCTTAACAAGCAGGCTATTTTGGTCTGGCAAGGCTCACACAGCCAAAGATTTGGATCTTTGAGAATATTTAGTGCAATGTTTTAAGGATAACCTTAGTGGGCTGAGGCCAAGGATTTTTAATTGATAATGATAAATGGCATTATTTATTATGCTTATTTGATATGGTTTATGTAATGCGTTTATGTAATGTGTTGGTTTATTGTTTATTTGTTTGGGTTGGGGGGATGATGTTGTGATTTTGTATTATGACATTTCTGTTTAGCCATTTGTTCGCTGCTTTGAATCCCACCTGTGGGAGAAAAGCGGGATAATAATAATAATAATAATATATTCACATTTATAGTTATCATATCAGGAGCAAACCAAGGGTACAGTTGTAATGTATTTAAAAAAAACAAATAAAAAACCCACAAAGTTTGAAACTTGGCATTTTATTAAATATCCAATAATAATAATAATAATAATAATAATAATAATAATAGCATAGCTAGGATATAGAGTATATTCCGGCATATAAGACGACTGGGCGTATAAGACGACCCCCAACTTTTCCAGTTAAAATATAGAGTTTGATATATACTCGCCGTATAAGACCACCCCTCTTCCATCGCACACCAAATAAAAACAAATCCAAGACTATCAAAGCAGTATCCAGCTCTTCGGCTTAGAAATGGAGATGAGCGCCAGCCCCCAGAGCCGGACACGACTGGACTTAACGTCAGGAGAAAACCTTTACCTCACCTGTAAACTCCTGTATGTTTATTATTTATTTAACAGTTGTGGGTCCATGGAGCGTAATAAAGTTCTATAAATTTTTACCTTACCTTACCTAGAGTGAGACCAGGGCCGGGTCCAATGTCCTTTCCCCAACAACAACAACAACAATAATGGAAACCTAGAATTGGAAGGGACTCCAACAGCCATCCAGTCTAACCCTAATTCTGCCAGACAGGAACACATGTCCAAGCCCTCCCGACAGATGGCCATCCTGTTCTACTTAATAATAGCAATAACAACAATAATAGCAATAACAACAACAATAATAATAGAAGGGACCTCAATGACCATTCAGTCCAACCCCATTCCTGCCAGGCAGGAAGACACAATGCAAGCCTTCCTAACAGGTGGCCATACAACTCTGCTTAACAATAACAACAACAACAGAACGCTAGAGTTGGGACTCCAATGGCCATCCATTCCAACCCACTCACTCCTGCAAGCCTCCCCAACAGGTGGCCATCCAGTTCTAGTTGTCATATATACTCGAGTATAAGCTGACCCGAATATAAGCTGAGGCACTTAATTTTACAACCAAAAACTGGGAAAATTTATTGACTCGAGTATAAGCCAGGGGAGGGAAATGCAGCAGCTAGTGGTAAGCTGAGGGGACAGAAGTTGTCATAAAGCCATCTTGTGCAGCTTCCAAAACCCAACACGTGAGAACATTTTGCACTGCAGCCAGATATTTCCAAGGTCATGCCCAAAGAGTTTGATGAATATACCCTTTTTGAGATAGATCTAAATCAGGCATGGGCAAACTGTAGCCCTCCAGGTGTTTTGGACTTCAACTCCCACAATTCCTAACAGTCAGTATTTGAGAACACAGAAATGCTGGACCACTCTCACAACCACCATGTCAGACTCCACAGAGAAGCCATTGCAATCCACAAGAAGCATGTGGACAATTTCAACAGAAAGGAGGAAACCATGAAAATGAACAAAATCTGGCTACCAGTATTTAAAAAACTCCTCTAAAATCAGGACAGTAAATAAAAAACAACACTCAAAAGCAGGGGAAATCCAGACAATAAAAATCAGGACCAACTAACACCTCCCAACAAAGGATTCCCCCAGGCAGGAAGCAGCCAGGCTTTGAAGCTGCAAGGCCATTCAATGCTAATCAAGGTAGCCAATGGCAACATTCCCACTTGCCTCAAGCAGACAAGAGTTCTTTCTCCCACCCTGGACTTTCCACAGATATATAAACCCCACTTGCCATGTTTCCAACAGACCTCACAACCTCCAAGGATGCCTGGCATAGATCTGGGCAAAACATCAGGAGAGGACACTTCTGGAACATGGCTATACAGTCTGGAAAACTCACAGCAACCCAGCCAGTAGTTGTTAGGAATTGTGAGAGTGGAAATTCAAAACAATCTGATAGAAAACTGGGACTTGTAGTTTGGTATGGTATTGGCTCTCTCAAACAGGGAAGGCTAAGGACCTTGTAAAACTACAACTCCTGTGATTCCATGGCACTGAATCTGTGGCAGTTTTTTGGGGGGGGATTCCCCTTTAAGAGTACTGGGACTTGCACTGGGACTTCCCCTTTAAGGCTGCCTCGTTCTTGGCTGCAGAAACAAAACCAAACGGGGGAAAGAGACCTTTTTTTCCTCCCTCTACAGGCTATTTCAAACTTTTAAAACTTAAGAGCGGCTGTTCTTTCAGAGGGAGCTGAGCACAGAGACAGGAAAGAAACCCCAAAGAGGGGAGCAAGAAGAAGTTTCTCCAGGGGCGGCTCATCCATTACGCGAAGTAAGCGGTCGCAGAACACTTTTTTTTGCCAGGGGCGCAGAGGCGCCTCTGTAAATGCCCCTCGACCGCCACTTGAGGAGCACCCCCTCAGCTCACAACAGCCCTAGCAGTTCAGGGGGAGCCTTGGCTTTCTTGCCTCGCTGCCAGGCGATCCTCTTCCCAAAGGGGCCGGGCCCTTGAGCCTCACCTAGCCCCTCTCGTTCCTGCTTCACCTGGCCACCGGGTGCGCGAGCAGAGCCAGCGCTCAATCGTTCTCTGCGTTCGATCCCTTCCCCATGACCGGCTCCCTTTCCCGATCCCACGGGGCTCCACCCGCCTCCTCTCCTCTCCCCAGTCCACGGGTGGGCCAAGGGCCGGAGCCGCCGCTCCTGGCCCGCTTCGGGACCAGAGGCATGTCTGAAGACCCCAGCGTGTGCACCAAAAGTCGCCTCTTCTCCTGACTTTCTCTTCAGCCATTGGGACCAAGAGAGAGAGAGGGAGAGAGAGAGAGCCCCTCCGGCTGAAGGTATCTCCCACCTCCGCTCCCTCCTTTGTTTTTGTGCCTACCTTCAGGAAAGGTGGGCATCTCCACCTCTCTCTCTCTCTCTTTCTCTCTTGGTCCCAATGGCTGAGGAGAAAGTCAGGAGAAGAGGTGAATTTAGGTGCACACGGTGGGGTCTTCAGGCACGTCTCCGGACCCAAAGCGGGCCAGGCAAGGGAGCAAATGCGGCAAGTGTAGTTACTGGGATGTATAGTTCACCTACAACAGGGGTAGGGAACCTTTGGCCCTCCAGCTGTGGTGGACTTCAACTCCCACAATTCCTTGAGGCTCGGCATTGGGCCAAGGTAAGCCTTTGGGGCGAATGCCGAGCCTCAAGGAATTGTGGGAGTTGAAGTCCACCACAGCTGGAGGGCAAAGGTTCCCTACCCCTGACCTACAATCAAAGAGCATTCTGAACTCCACCAATGATGGAATTGAACCAAATATGGCACACAGAACTCCTACAATGAACAGAAAATATATATCAATGGTTGGTTTGGGGGGGGGGGCAAAATGCTGTTTGCTTACTGTTGAAAATTACCTAGGGCCGCCTCTGTTTCTCCAGCAGGACTTTCTCGGAGGTGCCTTTGTTTGGACTCT